CATCGGGTGAACACTGTCTGACAAAGAGCGATCCCCGGCACAGGTGGTGGCTGGTGGGGGCCGTCATCAGGGTCGGCACCCCGGTCCGAACGGGCTGCATGGGGAGCGGCAACTGAGGCACACGGCGAAAACAAGGGCGTGACGTGGTGGAGGGTGGCGCGCGTCACCGCTCGCCACGCGCAGAGACAGCGAGAGTGAGTGACGTGTGGAGCGGAGCGGGACAGGGCGAGGTCGGTCCCGTACCGCTGGAGGAAGGACAACCCATTGCGACACCGTCCCACGGCAGACATGGCCATTAGTCGTGTGAAATCGGCTCCATAATCGACCCATGGTGATTGGGTTAGATGGTATCTGCCCGTCCTGGCGCAATGTCCTTAGATTACTCCACAGAGAGAGACGGTAACGGTGATATCACCCAATCAGTACACCTGAACTTAACCCGCCCGGTCCAGTCACCCCTCTCCCCCGGCCCACCTTTCAGCCACGTTTGTGTCCAGCCGGCCAGCCCAGCCCTGCCCTGCCCCGGAGCGGTGTCAGGCAGCGGCCCTGAGCCCCGAGCACGTTCGTGCCGAGCTAGCGGTGAGCCGCGGGGGACGGGCGGGACACCCGGGGGTCATACGGGCGGCTACAGTTTACCCAGCGCGGTATGTGGGGTGAAAGGCCGGATCTGGTGTTGATGCCGCTACCAGCATTGGAACAGGCTCCATCAGTGTCATCGGTGTGATAGGTGCCAGTGCTACCGAGACTGACCCCAATACTGACACAGCGTCAGCCACCCCGGCTCCGTCCCAGCACCCCAGCACCAGCCCCAGCCCCAGCGCCGGCGCTGGTGCCGCGGGGGCTGGCCCAAATGATGGTATCTCTGGGCCCGTCCGGTGTATCCGTGCGCACAAACACATGATTATCGGCTGAGCGGGGAAGGGACGACGGACGACGCGCGCACGCAGCGGGTAGACAGTGCGTGGCTCGGCCGGTGACCAGCTGAGCCGTGAGACATGTCCGGTGACCACCGACAATTGGACAGCGAGCCAGGGGCGAATAATGCCTCGCTTCGGGGCTCTGGTATGATGGAGTAGCGCCTGCGGGGTTCTGGTGTGGTTGAATGGCGGAATGGGGCTCTGGTATGGTGGAATGGGTGGCCATTGAGACCAGGCTCTGGCATAAGTAAAGCCCGTCCCTTAGGGCTCTCGTATGGCGGGAAAGTGTCCTCGAGACTGGCATGAGGGAACGATGGCCAGATAGAAACAATGGTAGCCATGCGGCGGCATGCGCTCGCTATGTTGAAGCAGGGAATTCTCTGAGACGTGATCGCGTTACTCGCGTGTCTTCCCGTTTCTCGCGCGTTCCAATTTCCTGATGAGCATTCACACTTTCTTTTCATGAACGTGAATGGGATTCAAGAGATAATGGCGGAATTTAAATGGCATTAACCAACACCACGATCTTAATCGTCGGCGAGTGAGGCGGGGCTGCTACGTTCCGTTTCACCCTGATCCATTCGCTCCCCCACTCCCTCCCTCCCTTCGCGTCTCTCCCCTCCCTAACCATATCCTCTATCTGCCCTCCCCTCTCCCCTCCCCGGCAGGGTTACGGCCAAGGGCACTATCGGGCATCGCTTCTCCCCGGCTGCGCTGCGTCCAAAGGTCGGCGCCGGGCCCGAGTTGTTATTGCCTTGTGCGTGGCCCGCTCGCTCCCCTTCCACGCGCGTCAGCTGTTCCGTCCCGCTACCCCCCCCCCCCCATCCTGTTCGGTCCTCCCCTCCCTCCCGGCGGCGCTGGGGTACGCCCGAGGGCCCACGTTCTGGCGTGTGATTGGGGGACGGCGGTGACGGAATCAACCAATCGGCGATCGGGCCGGCCTCCTGTAGATTCTACTGGGGTTGAGGGACGGGAGGGGGTGTTTTGATCCCGGCTCAGAGGAGGGGAGGGGAAGGATCAGAGTGACCCACCGTAGTAAGATTCTGTAGTAAGCTGACTGATTCGGTGACCGTGTGTACTTTGACCCCAACTTTAGCTCGGTCTGGTTATAGTTACACTCTAACGGCAACGCTTCAAGGCAGCCTGAAAAACACTCGTTTTTCGTCCACCCCTCTGTGTGCCCGTTGTGGGCACGGGTAGGGTGGAATTTGCACCTCTGGCCGGGAGGCACGCGGCGCGGCGGCCGTCTGGCCTTGAGCGCCGCTGACCAGGCGGGCCGGGCTGCCGGGCTATCGGGCGGCCCCGTTCTGCAGTACTGCACGCTCCAGACCGGGGCCTGGAGCCGGCCCGCTATCGTCGCCCCAGCATCAGATTTCCCGGCCCGGCGGCGCTGAGGTAAATACGCCGGGCCCCGCGGGGTTTGTCACCGAGGCCGGCACGGCGCGCCCGCCCGAGCTGACTCTCACTAACGGAACGGCGGCACTGAATCACGGGCCGCGAATTTGAGCGGCCGGCAGACAGGGACTGAGGCGGAGCTTCGGCTATGGAATCCAGCAGGACAGCACGACCAAGGATGCTTATGGGCTGGGTGCCCAATATAACGGGCACAGGGGATTAGCCGCCCGGTAATCGCGATGTGATCTTCACGGCACGGTTGTAGGACGCTGCCTTTGTCACGTTTTGTCGAGTCCGAGCCACGGCGCCGGCTGTGATTTCAGGCCGGGATTACTCAAAAAGTGACACATTTATGGATATGAAAACACGAAGATGACATATTTTGGCTCATGCAAGAGAAAACGGCTCACGACGATAGATGCCGAGATTGTGGAAACTCACGAGCTGTCGTTCAAGCAGGATTATAAACCCGTTAGCTATGGAGCTGGGAAAGTCCTTTGCCTCAAATGGTCCGGGATCGGCCCGTTAGTATCAGGGCATGTTATCTGACTGTTTTAATAGTAAATCTGCAGGTATATACTCGTATACGGTTTGGTTAACGATAGCTGCATTCTTGATCTCATCAAGGCGGCTGAATCACTATTTTTGATCATCTATTTTTCTACATCTATTTTTGTAGAAATGGTCTAATCTTCATATATTTCGAGAACTGTGTTGCCTTGCCGGAAAGGCAATTATGCATGAACGCTATTTTAAAGCCTTTGTCACTGTCATTTGATGCAATTTATAAGCATATTCACTTTTTATTGAAGTAGGTTGGTAAATACGATCCAACAAAATGTCGATTATGCAGCAAATTTTAAGCATCAACGTCTTCCATGTGTGCTATACGCCACAATAAATTGATTATTCTAATGTCATTAGAAACATGAGGCATCTGGTAAATTGCATTGCAAAACTTTTCAGGTAGAAAACGATGGAACTATCATTTTCGCCTCCCTAATAAACAACGCTCTTAACTTTTACCTTCAAAACTTGGGATTTAATTTTTTGGGGAAGACTTTTAGCCTTCCTTCACACCTTATGGTCAACGGCATTGCTTTGTAACGTTTATCCTGATAATTTGGTCAGCTTGACTGTTATCCTATTCGATGGACATACTGCATTTTCCTATCGATTACTGAAATAAGACAATCAAGTCGGGCAAAAACATGTAGACGTAGGTGGGAACACCCACGACTCGCAGCCTTAATCATCAGCAGGTCTTCCCATACAATTAATGAGCTCTGAAATGAGCTGTCCTACGAAATAAAATCTGTATTTGAGCTTAATCATATCGGTTCATAACGAGAGGAGTAATGTTTCTTCCGGACTCAGCAGCCATTCATAAAATTAAGAAGAATCACATTGCGGATTACCGTTTCTTTTTTAATTCGCAATTTAAACGGCCTGCTGCGTAACTTCACATGGATCAAACCACTGCTCTTTTCCTTAACAATGTGAATATGCATGGGTAAAAATGAAATCATGTAAAAAAAAACAGTAATTGGTATGTATAAATAATAAAAACCTTCTCTTGCAGGAGCCAGGAATGCCTAAAGAAGCTAAATATTTCTTTGTTGTTTGCCGTAATTTACCTCCGTAGCGGTATGGCCAGCGCCAATTTTGCAACCCACTCCTCTGCTCGTAACATCTGCCCACGTTTTTCACTTTTCGAACGATCCTGATATCCTTGAACGGGTAGCCAGACGTGCATGTCCATGAACCACGCTTTCAGCGCCGATTCCATGTAGTGCTTATCTTGAAGGCTGAAACAAAAAATGTTTGCAAAGCGCTTCTGCAGTGCTGCGACCACAAGGTTGAGGAAAGTGGTGATTACGTTCGATTTGAGTCGAAGAAAAAATAGCAGTGCCGTCTAGTCTGCTGCAAATAATTAACGTTATCACATGTAGGAAGTTGTGGGAAAGTGAAAAACAGTGCTGTTTGCATCTCAGTTCGTATGTAGGTAAATGCAGTTCATGGCACCCAACAGAAAACCGTTATCATTATAGGTACGAAAATCAGAAAGGCAATATAAACCTTACCGACCCAAAACCGTAGATATCGCTTTCCTGTGCGAAGTGGCATAAAGTTTCGACAATTATCTATCACAGACTTGTATGTTGCAAAGTTGTCCCTTCCAACATAAACTAAGACGGCATAGCGCTGATTATCCTAATACGTATGATAATTGATGGATGATAATTATCCATTAATAATTATTAGGCCATGGAACGTCAAGAGCATGGCAAACACGCTGTAATAGTAATGAGTAAAGCATGCCCATGCGTAAACATTTCGTGTGATTCCAAGCAATATCAACACGGTGCAAATAGCGGGTAGGTATATGTTAGGACGTTAGGTGATTGAGAATATACTTGGAGGACTTTTGAAAGGTATAATAATAACAAGAAGAAGATGCAACACGACGCATCACTGTGTTCCTTATAGTGAATCTGCCATAACAAGACCATATGATGATCGTGGGTATGATGTCAACATGCATGATGCAGCCAGTCCAGATAGAGGTAGGTATAGTGAAAAACCGCACAACGGTCCCCGCACACCAAGCTGTTCTGACATCATCGACATCAATCATCACACTGACACCATCGTGTCCGGCGCCGCGCGACCCGACCCTGGACTGACCTGGCGCGAAGAACGGGAGCTTCTTGGCCGTCTGCTTCTGCTTCACCAGGTCCAGCGGCTCGCGCTGCTGCTGCTGCTGCTTCCGCTGCTCCCTCTGCAGCGGCACCTTGAACTCCTCCTCCGGCTCGAGGCCGTCGAAGTCGGCATCGTTCTCTCCCGCATGTTTGCGGTGCAGCACGTCCTCATCGCGGCTCTTGAGGTCACCGAGGAGGGTATCGTAGCTGCGAGTCAGCTGCTCTCGCAAACGGAATGTCTTCGGCATGGTGCACTGTTAGCGGGGGCTCCACTCAGGCATAGACCGTCGCGCCGTCGGCCGCGCGCATCGCTCACCGCCGGCTCGCGCAGACAACTGCCCGTCGCCGCGCCGCGCGCGACGCTCGTGCACCGCCGCCCGGCGCTGGCGCGCATGCGCACTGGCCGCCTCACATCACCCGCCCGATTCATGGAAGGCCGCCGCGGACTGTTGAGCACGGCATCAGGGGCGATGAATTCAGATACGGCGAACAAGGATAAGCCGGCACCTGAGTTAAGTTCGCGATCTGGTGCGGCGCCCTTCCTCAGGCCGGGGCCCTATCCCGCTCCCGCAGAGGCTTAGCACCGAACACGGAACCCGCGGGAACTCCGTGCAATACCGTAAGGTGAGCCAATTGGGGCGGCGGATTTTAACCGCGAGATAGGCTTCTTGCTCAACAAATTTGCAGCTTATGAATGATAACAAAGAACAAAGACAACAAAGAGCAAGATGGAAAACTCGACATGGAAATTGGTAGCTGTTGTAGAGCCAATAAAGCTGGTTGAACTTTGAAGAAACAAGAAAAGGGACATTTCGGGTCTAATTTGATCTGGACTTTGAATTGATATTTGATACAGGCATCGTTTCTGTTCAATGAACTGAAGTCTGATTCCCTTAAAGGGACCCTCCCGGCTCCCACCTTCGAAAAAGTTAATGAATTGGCATGAAAGTGATGTCGCTCGGTTCAGGAAGAGCAAAAACGAACATCTACCAAATTTCATCGAAAAATATTCACCGGTTTTCAAGAGATTAGACTTTTACTTTTGTTTACTTTTTGGGATCTCCGCTGTTCCTAGCGACTTTATTTGAAAGTGCGGCATTTGTTGCGCGCAGAGCAGCATATACCACCGCGTGCTACAAAACGTTTTAGTCTAAGATTTAAAAATCGTTAGATCTCCGCTGACGTCACAAATTCTAAGGGGGCATTCCAATGCATTAGCCCCTTAGAATCCGAAAACTGCAAGTTTGAAATTCCATATCTTCGAATTAAAGCATTTTTCGATGTTGTGAGTGCCAAAACCGGTAATTGTGAGCCAGGGACCCTATTTTGGCTATCTCAACTCAAATCTAATGTTAAGGTGGGAGGGTCCCTTTAATAAATTATTCTCTCGGCACCGTTCTCCAGTTGCCGCCGCTCAACATAACGATAAGCCATAACGTATAGGTACGAAGAGTTGGCCATCGGAGTCGGCGATTTGGGTCCCTCGCGTTAAAAATAACAATATTGCTTTCATTTAAATCAACCCAAATAACTAATGCATATTTAGCCCTAACCTTCGAAAGTAAAAACGCTATCAAGCTTTGAGTGCAAAACTCGGGATGGAACATCGGTGTATATGCCGACCCTATGCTTCTGTGACATAACCTTACCTTTTGTGTTAATTGGCTCAACAGTCAAAACTCGGAGTTCGGAGACAAAATGTTCATTGAGTAGATAAACCTGTAAAAAAAAACGGTCCAGAGACGGCAAAGAGAGTTATGAAATTGTTGCGTGGTTTGAAATACAGGGTTTTTAAACAAAAACGTGACGATAGAGAATCGTTATATCTCGGAAAGTAATTATGCTAGGAGAATTATAAGCATGTCATTCAAATGATAATTGTTGAAAGTGTTTTATGATAAGTCGGTTTTTATTGTCGGGCACGAATTATGGCCATGCCACGTACAAACATCTGCCCAACAAAATATTATTTTTTACCAAGTTGGCATACCCATGACGATGGGGGCTTTTTAATGAAATGTTTTCTGGAAAAGCCTTTTTACGAGAATGAGAGATTAATATCGATCAAGCCAATAGCAGCATTGGGACTTTTGCTCGTCTGTGAACTGATTTATAACACAATGTCTAATGACGCTGGATGAAGAGATCAAGTTTGCCAACTTAAAAAAATAATATTTTTTGGGCACGAGAATGAGATGTTTGCACGTGGCGTGGCATGGCTTTAATTCGTGCCGCACAATAAGAGCCGACGTACCATAAAAAAACTTTCAACAATTCTCTTTTGAATGACATATTAATCATTTTCCTAGCATAATCATTTATCGAGATATACCGATTCTTTATCATCTCGTTTTTTAACCACCCTGTTTATCTAAAGGAATGACTTTGTGGGGCAAGGCCAATCCCCCCACTAACTCATTTTGATTACAATCGGATAAGGTGCATACCTATGTACTACATAGTTACTGCGATGCACATTGCAAATGTTTCAGCTTCAACACCTTCCGTCGCACCTAAATGTTGAGTGTTGACCATAATGACGGTTGTTACCTTATGTTTCCGCACCGTCTATAAGTGCAAGTGACGTCCGTCTTTCAAATACAGAAAACCGCCACGATACATAATTTTTAAGTAGCTATCTGAAGTGGCCGGATTGGCACGTCAGGTGCAACTTTGTGCTCATTTGGAGAAAAAAAAAACGGTATAAAATTGTTGACATGCCCGCAAAGTAAAAAATTGAAGAAACCGAAACATTTGATGACATTATCAGCTTTTTTTGTCTTTCGTGTTTAATTGCCGGTGCCGAGATAACGGTAAACATGACAACGGACTTGTCACAAGATCCAAGGGAAACATTGCGACCAACCTTGAAAAATCATGTATTTTATGTCGCATGTAAATGGATCAACCGTGCCGAAACTTAGGAAATGTCAAGGTAACTGGATACTGGAAAGTCGCACCCATCTAACGTCTTCTTTTACCGACGCTCACTGAATATTTTACGTGTTGCCGAAGGAAAAACATCAGTCTCGAGCTCGGAACTCGCACTTTCCGTGAAAAATTGGAAGCGATAGGAGTTAGGACGTCCATTTTGGTTGAATGAGATTCACCAGAACTATGTAATGGCTTAATTTGAAGTAGCACATCCTTAAAATACACTTAACGCTCCATTTTTCCAAAAGCCGACATCCGCTCTTCGCATCGGTCCCATCTCGTCTTGTCTCGCGCCGAAACGCGATGTAGATCCGTCCTGTCACTGACAAGCCCGCCTATCGTTCGTGCTCTGGTCTCATCTCTATTTCGGCATTCCCCAATGTGAGCGGTGTGAACATGGTGTCGCCAGCCCACGAAAATCGTGCGCGGTGCCACCCGGGCCGACCCCGTCCATCCCCGCGCGCTCTTTGCCGCTCGCTGCTGAAAGTCAATACCGTTACGGAGGCGTAGAAGTTCGTTGCTGAGACCTTGTCTGTCGCTGGCTGAGGTCCGTCAGCATGGGTGGAGAACCTGCCCCGGCCACCCCGGCCGTGGCCGGGGTAACTTTCAGCCGACCCCGGCGCGGCCGGGGTAACTTTTTCTACTTTTGTAAATCCTAAAAGCTGTCTCCATACGAAAAAAAACTGCCATCTATAAAAGCGTCTCTCATTATTCTTATCTACCTTGAAAAGTTATTGAAATTTTACTTTATTATTTTCATTTTGGAGCTTCTATGTTTTTAAGTTTTTTTTTTCATCGCAGAGCCCGACATGTTTCATCAAACAGAAGTAGGTAGGTAAATCATATTTCAGGTGCGAGCTCAAATCAATAAGAGGGTCAAAACGGTCAAATTTGACATTTTGTTTTGTGTGGGAAGTTTGCAACTTCCACGGAATAAGCTTTGCAAAGGGCATTAGCACGATCATCCAGCAAATTTGACCTGATGACCTGACCTAGCACTAGGTGACATGCGTCCGAAATTTTAAGGCGTGTTGCAAAATTGTTGTTACAATTACGAAATCTTCCGCACCTGCGTGCAACAGTTTTCCCTAAAAACGTACAAACGGCAGCCATCCTAGGGGTTTGTTGATAACCGTTGACAAATATTTGAGCATCATCGTCTTCCTGACTTTCGGTCGCCGGCCGGGGTAACTTTTTCAAACATTCTCCACCCGTGTCCGTCAGCATGCATATTTAGCGTGATACCACCGGACCGACGGCCCGATAGCCTGAATTACATTGCATTTGTCTGCACGGATTGGCACGCCAGGTGCGAATTCGTGCTTATTTGGAGAGGGAAAAGTATAAAATTGTTGACATGTCCGTCGCATTTGACGGTAATTATTCCATTTAATGATTTCAGCATGTCATTGAAAAGAGCACTCACGGTTTGAAAGGACTGTCATGTACGCACGTCATGCACAATGGGTCGCTAATGCATGTACGGCCGTTGAGCTATGCACGGACCGGTCTCGGTTGCCGACCGCTCGGAGTGGGGTGTCCTGCTGGTGGACCCGCTGCTGCACAGTTCGAGCCGCGGACCGGCGCCGTGCGCTGTCCAAGGTGACGCCAACCGGCTCTGCCGGCCCTGCCAGCCAAGGTCAGGCCAACCGGCCCGACGCGACGGCTAGCTGGACGGCGACCGCGGTCTGCGAGGAGGCACGGCCCGCGAATTTGGACAACAGGCTGGCGCGAATGGCGAGCTTGGACCTGACGGGACTTGGTAATACTAAAGGGGCATTTATCAGGACTGGGAACTAAGTAGCAGGAATTGAACTCGGCCCGATTGTAACACAGGACTCGCGCATACGGATGTTCATGCATAGTGTTGTTGCCTGTTACAATGCCGGAAACAACCCTGCAAGCTGACGAAGATGATGATATAACCAGTACACGGCGCCACATATTTCGGCACCACCCCAACCCCATACACCCCAACTACGCCCCAGTTTATAGCGGCACTCGCTCTCGGACATGTGTCCCCACCGGTCGTTGTTCGAGCCCTGGTACTCTGTCAGGATCAGACTGTGCACGATGCTCAAAGCGGCGCCACCTCGCGGGTGCGGCGGAAGTAGCGCTGAGCTGCTGTCAAGGCCAACACTGCTAAGCGTGAATTACACGTATCATGTGTGTAGCCGTGGGCGAGCGGACACGCTAGTTCGCATCATCAGCAAACGGGTCCGAAGTCTTTGTGCTTTGGTTGACGATCGAGTCCAGCAGAGATTGTCTGGGTAGGTATAGCTGAGGTATAGATATAGCTGGGTAGGTATAGCTGGGGTAGGTATAAGATTTTAGGTTAATCTGTATCCATGCGTTGCATTCTTCTACGTGGATTTCATCGATAAGCGAACTTAGTAGGAGTCTAATCGATAGATGCTTACAATTTGTTATGAAACACATATTGAGTGAGTGAGTGTCACTTCT